CCGAACCGCCGCCGCCAGAGCTGCCGCGGAGCCCCCCGAAAGCGCCGCCTCTTGCCCGAGGAAGCAGCTGGCGCAGGGGCGCTGGTCACTTAGAAGTGCCTAAAGTTTCCATTTCCGAGGGTCTGTCGACCGTTACCGAACCGCCGCCGCCAGAGCTGCCGCGGAGCCCCCCGAAAGCGCCGCCTCTTGCCCGAGGAAGCAGCTGGCGCAGGGGCGCTGGTCACTTAGAAGTGCCTAAAGTTTCCATTTCCGAGGGTCTGTCGACCGTTATGGGTTATGGCTGGGGGATTTTTATTATTTTCTCTTCCTTACTGTGTTTTCATACTTCATAGCTATTGTGGGTCTGTAATAAAAGCTTCATCTGTACTGGAATATAAAACGTAAATTCTGTTAAGACAACTTAGCAGGTAAAAACCTAGTTAGGAAGGACTCTGGAAAATAGGAGAAGTGTCTTCTGTCCATCTCATGGTAGATTTTAAAGCTATTTTAAAGCCCTGTGAAGGGCTTGATTGACCTAGGAAGAGTCACTGGCTGAGGCCCAGAGCTCAGTGTTTAAACTTTAATAGAGCAACTACATGATTCTGCTGAAGGGCAGAGTCCTGCTGGAAGTGTGAGGCTGCGTGGGCGCACACGCCCCACACACAGCCAGTGAAGAGCTGACTGCAGTGCCCGCCTGGGCACTCTGGCCAGCCAGCCAGCTTGGCACTGCTGCCACGTCCTGGGGCATCGCCAGCCTTTGCAGGACACCGGCAGCACTTGTCTTCTGCTCCCCCTCCAAACAGCTCCTCTCTGGCCTGGGCTGTGACCACTCATAACTTTTCATTTTTTTGTAGGTCTTTTGATGTGAATCTTTGGGCCGTGCTTCATGTTTCCCAGGTGAGGAACTGTCACTGTGGCTGTCACCATAACAGCAGTGACTCAGCTGTTCTGTGCAGCAGTGAGAAGTGTCCACGGCGGGGGCTCAAAGGGACCCCGATGCAAAGTTACCCTGACACTTGTCCCGTGCAGCCCCTTCACTCTCCTGCTTCCACTCCCTCCTGGCAATGGGAGGCAGCGAGGACTTCCTGCGGATGCTCTTGCTCTTTGGGCTACCAAAGT